GGACCAAGAAATTGGACAATTCAAGTTCGTACGAAGTTTATTATGTAAATGGAGTGGTTGGCGTATTGCATAGTTTTAGCAATTGGATTTCACTCAAAACACACCGATTCACTCCTCCCACCATATTATGACGTTGCCCACGTTTTGGGCTCAATCTGATATCAATTGGGCAAAGAAATTGGACAATTCTAGTTCGTATGAAGTTCATTCTGTAAATCGTGTGGTTGATGTATTAAATAGTTTTAGAGATTGGATTCCACTCAAAACTCACCGAATGACTCCTCCCACCATATTGTGAAGTTGCCAAAGTTTTGGGGGCAATCCGATCTCGATTGAACCAAGAAATGGACAATTCAAGTTCGTATGAAGTTCGTTCTGTAAATGGAGTGGTTGGTGTATTGCATAGTTTTGGCAATTGGATTTCACTCAAAACTCATCGAATGACTCCTCCCACCATATTATAGTGTTGCCCAAGTTTTGGGCTCAATCCGATCTCGATATAACTGAAATCCCCAAATTCCTTCCCAGTCAAAAAGTCAACTTTTAAACCAATAAAATATTCTAAAGGTATAATGGTCTTTTACTGGAATAAATTAATAATTAAATATTAATTAAGGACCGGGTTGTTACAATCTACCCCCCTTATAAAAATTTCGTCCTCGAAATTTACTTACCCATCACTCAAAAAGGTGAGGGTACTAAGCCTGCATCTGTTACTCAGATTCCCAAGTCTGCTCTTTTAAAACTGCACTCACCACTTGCATCTTAATAAGTGTATCTATAAGGCAATTAATAAAATCCGGAGGCCACACATTTATATCTGAATACCTGAGGTGGCTTAAGAAAATATAAAACTCTGAAAAGATCTGCTAATTAACTGAATTTCTAATAAATTTAAAACTCTGCTGCCATTAATCTGATATTTAGCTAAAATTCTCCTTTTTCCTACGAGTGCCTGACACCTGGCTAATGCTGGGCACAAAAAACTAATTTGCCCTTTTTAACTGAAATTAACTAAAATTCAAGTGCGACTTCTACCGAAAATTCGGCAGAGTCTCCCCTGTAAACTGAACATTCCCAAAAACATTTTACCTGTAAAACAAACATATATGTTTAAATATGTATCTGTATTACAACTGCCAGCATGTAACGAATTATATCCAAAAGGAATCAAGCATCATAACACTCAAGTCTCAGGTTGCAACAATTCAAATAAATAAACCTGCTCATAAGATACATCTCAACTTTCAGATCAACAATAATACGCTGGTAATCTCACTCAGCACCTTGTAAATTAAAATATTTAAAAGCATATAATAAGGTGCTGAACTCATGCATTCCTGCTTATACATAACTTACTAAGCAGTAATCTGCTGAAAAACATTGAATATATAGTTCATCCTGTTCTGTAATCCTTGCTGGACTCAGGAGACATCTGGTCAACCTGATCCACAATTCTGGCTCCCACAGTTTGGATAACTGTAAGACTCGTGGGGCAAAATATGCTAGAAATACTGGAACTGTTTAATACTATATACAATAATAAAATATGAAAGCCAACAACTTACATGAAATAAAATAAACTAAGATAAATTAAAGCAAACTAAACTAAAATAAATAAAGTCCATAAGTAAATAAATATATATATATGCATATATATACTCCATCTATTACTTGTAAAACAACTGTGATATTTAAATAAATAATGGTAACTATATAAAATCCTTAGTTTAGTTTAAAAGCATCTCAAAACTTAAATTCAATCCACCTAGGCGTACCCCCATATCTGATCCGTCAATTCCTTTAATACAGTCAATTCCATATATATGTTAATTCCAATAATAATCCGTCAATTCCATCATCGCAGGTCTCGAAAACACAAAGTTAACCGAGCCGCGTTCCTCGCAGGTCTCAGAGATAACACTTCAATCTGAGCCGCAATCCTCACAGGTCCCGGAGACACCAAGTCCATCTGAGCCACATTCCTCGCAGGTCTCAGGGGACCATTAGTCAGCCTGAGCCGCAATCCTCACAGCACACGGTTCAGGTGTCCCCGATACTCGTGGGGCATTATCATAAATAACAAACTGTCTTAAGGCAACTGGGGGGGTACCCTGTGGTGGGTTTGAAAATCATAATCTGCTATTGACATAAACTTTTAATAAATTGGTTTTCAACTAAACTTAAAATATATCCACACACACATATATATATATATATATACCAAAATCTGATGAAAACCAAAAATTAAATTTCTTCCTTTTCAACCCCTGAATATATGCATCAACTACTTAGTCAGTTGGTTAACCACATTGCTCTCTACTTAGCATATCATTCCAATATTAATTTATACCCTTACAACACAATTAATCATATGAACAAATATAAATAGGTGATGAATAAACCGATAATTAAATACTCATCTTGCTAAACCTCAGTTCTCGACATATAAGTATATATAATAACATGAATAACAAGTTTTTCAAATGAAAACCTCAACAAATTTTTCCAACCTTTCTGGATACCTGTTTACTCACCAACGCCAATGAGGTAAAATAACAAAATAACTGTCCAGCAATTCTGAAAATAAGGATGCACAAGTAATGCAAAGTCTACAGGCAGTTAACCTAATGCTCTAATACCAATTGAAACGACCCGACCCAAATTCCACTTTGAAATCCGGGCCGAATCCTGTTTAAAACTGACACTTGGTGACTGTGGGTTATAAAAGACCAAAATTCCCTGAAAACAGTAACATAAACCCTGAGCCCCTAACTCGTGGCTGCGCCTGATAACTGTAGGCTACCTATGTACCCTTACTGAGGGATCAAGCCACACGTAGTTCTTTCCTCTGTTCCTGTCCTGTAATTGGTTTGTTTTACTGTAAACCTCACTCTAGGGCTGACATTTCTGGAGTATCCGAGACTCTGTTTTATGATCCGTCAAATACTATACGATCCTGAAATTACCTAGATCAACATACTGGAACATGATTACGATCCAACGGTTCAAACCTACTGAACCTGGGAATCACCCACTAGGCGAGATTCGTTCGGGGTTCAAACGTTATCCGAATTGACATCCACGAATTCCTACGAGCTCGTGACAACAAGAGGATCACATTGGGACACAATGCCTCACTGCTACAGTGCCCACGCGCCGCCACACGCACTGGCAGAGCGTGGTTGCCAGAAGCGATAACGCTTCGCAGGATAATCTCAACATCTTGGCTCAAGACTCCTATCATAGGTAAAACACCCTATTTGGAACCACTTTTGTTCTTGGACCTACCCCAAAAACTGGCCGAAAGTGACCGAAACAGTGACCCGAAAGTCTGCTAAAACCTAACTTAAAAATCGAACGATCTACGCTTGAAATCTCTGAAATCCTACCCAACCAGCAGCTAGAGCATGGAAAATAGCTAGAAAACCATACCTCACTCATCCGATTTGGTGGCCGGAGGTGTCCGAACGAGCTCTGTGAAATTCCATCAAAAACTGTCCAAACCGCCCTGTTTTGTGGCAATTTCCGGTGACCACGATGGCGGATCGAGGCTGGGATGGGCTGAGACTGAAAGAGGGGAGTGAGGTGGTTCGTTTGGCACTAGTCTTCCTCGAATTGGTACTCGGAGCTGAGAGAAATCCTCTACTAAAGTCGGCTGGTCGAGTTGCCGACATAGGAGAAATCTGAGTTTTTAAAGAACTCAACTTCAAAATATTTACGATTATGCCACTGAACTTCTTTTGATTGTAACTCCTTCGTTACCACTCCGATTCGAGTCCACTACGTGTCTACGGACTCATTTCGTCGCGCTCTACGCAACGATATAACTGAAATCCCCAAATTCCTTCCCAGTCAAAAAGTCAACTTTCAAACCAATAAAATATTCTAAAGGTATAATGGTCTTTTACTGGAATAAATTAATAATTAAATATTAATTAAGCACCGGGTTGTTACAGGCTAAATCCATACCTAGGGCTTTGATGTAACCTAACATGAATTTTCTAGGTTTATAAATTTCAAGTTTCAAGTTTGATTTATGGTTCATGTTCTTATTTATTATGCCTACTTGCTTATATTCTAATCGGAATGCCTAGCTACCATTTAGATTTGTGTATCTTGGTTGGAATTAGGAGTAGACACCATATGCTTTAATTCTAATTGAACTATGAATAGAAAGAGTATGTATGGACATTCAACAACAGGGATTAGATACATGCTTGGTTGTTTAAAACATTCTTCTATGCTTAATGGATTTCTAATCCTTAATTTAGGTTCGACAACAAGGATCTAATTAGGGAATTAAGAATACAAGGTTCAGACAAGACATCATGGTTTAATCATACTTTAGCTAGAATCAATATTTGAATATGAATTAGACTTATCACTTGAATCCTTATAACCTAAAATTGAATTTTTATGGTGAATCGAATGACCTAGTCTCCAAATCTGTTTTTCAACCTTCAAAACCACCCTTTGTTGCGTTTGCTTACTTTGCTTTTGTTTGTAATTTCATTTTGCTTCATTTGTTTTGACAATCACAATCACTCTCACTTTAAATTCTGTTTTAGACTTAACTTCCTATTTTCTTGAATTGGGTAATCTAAGTACGTAACTAAGTCTAACTTCTCATTCCTCATGGGTATGACCTAGTACTTGTATTGCTATACTACTAATTTGCCTGTACAATTGCGAGTTAACAAAACAACATCCTGTCAATTTGACAGGTCATTAATTGGAAATTGAACATCTCAATGTACAATGTTCAGGAAAGTTAATCATTTTGATTCACAATCATAGGCTACACACCGTACACCATCCCATACCAAAAATATATATAACCTTTTCGGATGTATCTATATAAATGTATTAGGTGTACTATAAATTCAGAAAGCCAAGGGAAGATAAAAATCACAACATGTTTGCTTCTTCGAGGGTTTAGAAATTTTTTTTAGTTGATGTACTAAAAATACGTAGGGGTTCCCTTGATCTTCTCACCAATGGCCAACAACACCATGAACCGAAATAGGCCTGATAATGACCCGGAAGATGAAGCAAACAACCACAAAGGGAATACCCCTCCAGTCCATGCACCTCCACCTTTCTACTACTTGCCTAAGGACCGTTTCTACCCAAATTCATTTCTTCTAGCACGTCAACAGCAACCGTGTCTCCGTAGCATGTACCAACATAGAGAACTAAATTTACTGCCGAGGGGCCACGTACTTATCCACAATGGCCAGAGCAATACTATTCCTGCACAACGAGAGACGGTCCACCAAGACAACCTTGTCATACATGTGGAGTCCAACACGGCCATTAATCAACCAGAATCTGTGCATGTAACAACCCGACCCTAAATTAATATTTAATTATTAAAGTATTCAAACAAAAGACAATGTTACACCGGAATATTTTAATAGGTTTACCTGTTGACTTGTTGACCGGGGAGACTTTGGTGGAATTGTTACATCCCGGTCCAAAAGTGTGTTAAAATAACTAAAGTAAGAGAGAATAAATTTAAATGAGGAATAAATTTAAATAAACAAAAAATAAAAATGATTTGAATTAATTAAGGTTTTTGAGAAATTAAAATATTATTTAATATTAAAAAGGGGCAAAAAGGTCATTTTAAGCTCGGAAAGGAATTTAGAAATTTCGATTGGACCATTGCGTAGAGCACGTCGAAATAAGTCCATAGACATGTAGTGGACTCGAATCGGAGTTGTAACGAAGAAATGGCGACCAAAAGAAGTTCAGTGGCATAATCGTAAATATATCGAAGTTCAGTTTTTTTTAAAACCCAGAATTTCTGCATTCTGGGTAGCGGGACCAGCCGACTTCAAGAGGGGATTTCTCTCAACTCTGACCACCAATTCAAGCAAGACCGGTCCCGTTAGAACCAGCACACTTCCCTCTTCTAGCCCTAGCTATTCGCCACCTCGATCCGCTGCCGTAGTCGCCGGAATCAACCACAAAACAGGCGGTTTTGAACAGATTTTTCTTAAACTTTCGCCGGCCGTTTCTCCCTCCTCCGACCATCAAACCGGTCGAATAAGGTATGTTTTCACACCTATTTTTCGAGCTCTAGCTAATGGCTAGGTAGGATTTGATTGATTTCTAGCCTAGGTGGTTCGATTTGTAACTCAAAGTTTGGCCGGATTTCGAATTGAAATTCCGGCCACTTCCGGCCATTTTTCGGGGTATGTCCAAGAACAAAAGTGGCTCCAATTAATTTCCTGAACCGAGTGGTATCGCTTTGGATACCCACGCACTGCCGGCAAGTGTGGCGGAGCATGGACAGAGTGGTTGACTACATTCTATCCTAGATCGATCTCCTAGTTTTCATGAGCACGTAGGTGTGCTTGGATTCTAATTTGAATACCGTTTGAGCGTCGAACAGATTTCGCCTATTGTGCGATTTCCGAGTTCAATAGGTTCGAACCTTTGGATCGTAGTCAATTTCTTATATGTTGATCTAGGTAATTCTAAGATCATATAGGATTCGACGGATTGTAAAACAGAGTCCCGGATACTCCAGAAATGTCAACCCTAGGGTTAGGTTTACAGTAACCATCCGATCGTGTAATCGTGAGTAATCCGACAGTCCGATAGAGACTGTACTCTCGGGACATGTGTCCTAGGCTTATTGGGACCTTTAGGGACTCCTGGATTTGTGATAGGTGGTAGTGGACCCCACACGGGTACCGTGGACCTAGTTTGGGAAGACTAACCACTTTGTGGACTGTGAGTCTTCCGAGGTAGTTTATCCTTCGAGAAGTATTAGAACGATCTTATACTTGAGAATTGACTGTTATGTTAAGTGTTTTGTTGTGTTTGGTTTATAAGTTTACGTTAAAGCATTTTGTGTTGATATTGGATATTATTTTGGTATTGGAAGGTTATGAATTATTGGAAGTTATTTATTTATTGTGTTCAGATGTGAAGAGTATGAGTATTTAATTATCTGTTAATTTATCACTTGCTTATATATTCATGTGGTTAGTTGTATTGTAAGATTATAAATATAATATTGGAATGATATGCTAATCATAGATCAATATGGCTAGCAAACTAGCTAAGTATTTGATACATATATTCAGTGGTTGAAAATGAAGAATTATAACTTTTGGTTTTTATCAGATTTTGGTATATATATATATATATATATATATGGATATATATTTTAAGTTTAGTTGAGAACCAATTTATTGAAAGTTTATATAAATGACAGGTTATGGTTTTCAAACCCATCGCGAGGGTACCCCCCCAGTTGCCTTGAGACAGTTTGTTATTTATGATCATGCCCCACGAGTTTCGGCGACGCCTGAACCGTGTGGTACGAGGATTGCGGCTCAGGTTGACTAATGGTCCCCTGAGGCCTGCAAGGAATGTGGCTCGGATGGACTTGGTGTCTCCGGGACCTGGGAGGATTGCAGCTTAAATTGAAGTGTTATCTCTGATACTTGCGAGGAATGCGGCTCGGTTAACTTTATGTTTTCGAGACCTGCGAGGATGGAATTGACGGATTATTATTGGAATTGACGGATATATGGAATTGACGACATATATGGAATTGACGGTATTAAAGGAATTGACGGATCAGATATGGGGGTATGCCTAGGTGGAGAGAATTTAAGATATGAGATGCTTTTAAACTAAGTTGAAGATTTTATACAGTTACCACTATTTTCTTAAGCATCACATTTGTTTTACAAGCGATAGATGGAAATATATATAGATTCTAATCAAGTTATTGATATATATAAATATGTATATATTTATTTATGAACTTTATGTGAGTTCGATACAAGGGTGTTCGGAGCTTATAAATCTTTAACTTATTTTATTTTATTATGTTTATTTATCTTTTATGTTGCATTATTTTATATAGTATTAAATAGCTTAAGTTTTCTAGCATATTTTGCCCCACAAGTCTTAGATATATCCCGAACGTGGGAGCAAGGATTGCAGACCAGGTTGACTAGATGTCTCCTGAGTCCAGCAAGGATTACAGGTCAGGACGTGTCACCATTGGTGTCACGAGAAATTAATGGTTATGGCTTTCCAAGCATGATTACCTGATATAAATGCTTTTATTTATTCAGTTGATTATATATTGCCATGTGAGAAATGCCAGGAAGCTTGAAACAGAAAGCTGAGATGAAAATTGAGAACTAGAGTGGTTTTGCAAAGAACGAACTACGTGTGGCTTGATCCCTCAGTACGAGTACGTAGGCAACCTATAGTTACAAGGTGCAGCCACGAGTTAGAATGTTTGAGATTACCAATGCATTATTGTTGTTCTGAAAGTTGAGATGAATTTTATTAGCATATTGATTTATTTGATTTATTGCGACCTAAGACCAGAATATTATGATGCTCAATTTGTTTGGATATAATTGAATGCATGTTGAACGATTGAGTTATATAAATGTTTGATGACAGGTGGAAATTTTGGGAAATGAGTAAATTACAGGGGGAACTCTGCCAAATTTTCGGCAAAAGATAATCTTATTTTAAAAGTGGATTTTTAGTTAGAAGGGCAATTTGGTCTTTGTGCCTGGCATTAGCCAGGTATCGGACACTCACAGGGAGCTTGGATTCCAAAGTGGAATTTGGGTCGGGTCCTGTCAGTGCATGGTTGACTCCCCTATCCCTGTGCATTGTCAAATGGTATCAGTCATGCTTATACCTACCAGAAATTAGATCTTTATGACTTGAGTAATGAGGCAATTTCAAATGTCGCAAATTTCGAATCCTCTTAGGCCCCGTTTGGTTCACGGAACGGATTTGAGGGGAAATCACTTCCTATGTTATTTCACAAGGGATTAAAATGGAGATTTATTTCCCATGTTTGGTAATCCTAGGAAAGTAATCAAGAAATGCCACCTTATTTCCTTTCACATATTTGGTTTGTGTAGGAATGTAAAACAAAGTTTGTTTAATTTTCCAATTATACCCATAGGAAATCAAATAAAAAAAGAACGCGTTTGATGCTATATTGTAATCCTAAATTGTTAATGGGGACAATATGGTTATGAAAAATGTGTATTTAATGTTGGCTCATTTTCTTGAACTTTCCTTTGAGGAGGAAAACAAAACCCAAGTGGGGAGGAGGGCTTCACATTCCCCCTACTTTCCCATGTGCAAGGCAACGATTTCCCATGCATGGACTTACCAAACATGGGAAAGCAATTGATTTCCTATCCCAAGCCTCATTTCTCATGCACCAAATGGGTTCTTAATGAGGAAAGTGGAGTGAATTACATCTATTGGAAAGAAGGTATTTGAACTAGCAAATGTTTAATCGCACGTGCATGTTGTATCTTTCATATTACAAAAGCAAGTACTGTGTTTTGTTTTAAATTGTAAGCCTTTTTTTTTGGTCACATTTCAGTTGTGTGATTATTTTGTCATTTATTTTCTCATGACAAGCTATGAACTACAAGCACAAAAGTACAAACGTGAGACTCTTCGACATTATATTTTAAACATTGACTACAATCACATACGACCCATTATAAGTTAAAGAGCTATAACAACGTACTTTTAACAAATATATATTACAACAGTAGTTCCTTTGAACCTTTGAAAAAAAAAAAAAAAAATAACAAAACTAACAAAACAAAACACATGGAACAACGTAGTTTGTCAAGCCATTGATAATTGCTTAAACGAAATTAAACTAACAACACACATAGTTATTGACGTTGCATTAGTTTTCATCATCTAACCAATTTTGCCTATATAGCCACCACATATGAGAGCTTGGGGGGCTTTCAGCCTGGCCCCAGTTATCCTCCCATTCTTAAAGAAATTTGTCATCATAACATTTTGGGCTTGGCTCAATAGTATTTTTGGGTTTGCACTTGCGTAAAATGGGGGATGGGGCCTTAGGTGGAGAAGGAGTAGGCGACCTATAGTAGCGTACGTTATCAGCCCCCCGACAACGAAAAGCAACTTGCATGTTTTAGACGGACGTTTGGCAGGATCTGAATAACACTTACAAAAGTCTTCCATAACTACAACATTAGGATCGTATACGGGGGTTTTCTGAGGAGAGGAGGATGAAGACATTGTGTGTTCCGCTATAGGGATTGTAGATGAGGTTACTACACCTTCTATAAACGCATGTCAAGGGTGCAGTACTACATGTGAACGGCAGAATTCATATATTGTAAAGGCTATTGTGAGTTTGACGTTACAATATGAAAATTGATAGACCCAACCCAGTGCATGTTAATGGTAGGTATGATGGCAGCAGTGGTGGACACACGTTGGGACAAGAGGGGTTGCACGACCCCTTGGGATGCTGGAAATACGGCTGTTGACTCCATGAGTGACCCCTTGGACAGCAGCAAAGCGACCCTTTCTGTGCACTTATAAAATTTTGAACCATGTACATAATAAGTTTATATAGTACATATATAATATTTAAACAGTTAGCAGTTAAACCTTAGGAGACATTAAGTATTGATAGAAACAAAGATCTTTAATGCAAATGATTTATTGTGAGTATAATAGTTATTGAGTGTTTTATAAGTATTAATAGTTAATAACTATGCTAAAAATCACATTCGATGTCATCTTCAACTATGAACACCAAAATAAAATTGACCTAGGGAAATTTAAAATGAACATGTGAGGGAAAGGTTGTAGTGAGGAAAGTTAATTGTCCTTGACATACTGACTAAGTCTTAGTCTCATAAAAGTGAGTTTGATAAATTGGTTGAACTTTTTTTATACGTTTAAATTGATATTTTAAAGTGTGAAAGATGAAGATAATGTTAGAAAGAGTTCGTAGGATTTTCGGTATGTTTTTATGATTTTGTAAGAAGTGTTTTCAAGTGTAAGAAGTGTACACATTGAAAATAACAATGAATTGAAATTATTGGTGTGGGGATTTCAAAGTGTAAGAAGCGTCTCAGTTGTGCTCCTTGACGGGAATTATTGGTGTAGGGATTTCTAAAATCCCTATGAATCTATGAGAAAACAAATCATCTAGCATGGCTTATCTACTATGGAATTAAAATAAAAGCGGAAGCAAGAGAGATTCATACAAAGTCTTACCTTAGGCCCCAATCTTTATATATAGGTTTATGAAAACTTGCACCATTGACACTAATATCAAATATCAAAGAGAGGGTATAAAGAGGACATACCCTTGGAGCGAATCTTGAAACCAAGGATAGTGCTCAAGTAGAGGGATTGGTTCTTTAGATGTTGATTCTCCACTTTGCTCTCCAAATACACACAATAGAGTTGTGCCTCCCCAAAGAATCTTCACCAAGGATAGAGAAGAATAGGATAATAAGGAACCTTGAGGAGAAAATGGGTGCTAACCTCCTCTTCCTCTAGGTGGCCAGCCAAGGGAGTCTTGAGAGAGAGGCTTGATGCTTTCTCTCTTCCAAAATGCCTAACTTGAAATCCCTAAGGAGGTATGGTGCTATGGTTATGAATATATAGAGACACATTTTCACACATATGTGCCTTAGAGACCCCATGTGCTGCACCCTCTGTTCCCTTGGCATTTTTGGGCTGCTTTGGTCTACCACATTAATCCCATAATGTGTTATAAGGTCCATTTCCATAAATTTCTAAGTTACATGGTGAAGGAAACTTTTATCTTTGCTTGGAAATGAATTTAGCCACAACATATAACACAAAACTCATAATGGGAGATTAATTTTTCTGATTCTAGTTGAGCTAAGCTTTTTTCACTTAACCCAAGTATCTTATAATCTAGTTTCTTTGAGCACAAAATAGAAAAGAGAAGAAAGGATAAGCATTATCCTTGTAGACTTTTCTTGGAGAACCAAGAATGATTACCTTATTGGAAAGGCCTTCAATCTCCGCTTAGAATGTAGATTCCTTAATCAAAAGGCTCCAAATTAGAAGCCTTCTAGCCCACCACACAAAATGGACTAGAGATGGAGAGAAGACAACCTAGAAGACTTAGATGTTAGACTTCCTCTAGGTTGGTCCGAATTTTTGGCTAAGGAAGATAAAAGGGAGATTGTCTCACCTACTCATCACACACCACCGTGGAATACCAAAAACCTCTCACTAGGTTTTAAGTTATCTTTTGGCTTTTATAGGAAAAGCAGGAGGAGAGAGAGACTCTCCCCTTCACTGGCCATGATACTCTTATGTAATGGACATGTTGGCATTTTCTGGTTGTACTCAAGGTTGTAACGTTGAGGAGGTGGAAGAATTGACAAGAATGAGATAAGTCATACTTGACAATCAATGGATTCCATGCAATAGAAGAATTAATTTCACTGTCTTATACTTTCACTTGTTTGGCATATATGCTTATCCCTGGTGGAAAGAGAAAATAATCAATTCTGACCTGGAAAGGAAAGATGGTTTGTGTCCTCTGACACCTGAAGAAACCGCTCTTACACTGAGTGCACTTGACATTGATCGCGATCTTCAGATTTATATTACAGCTGGTGAAATATATGGTGCAGAGAAGAGAATGGCAAGTCTTGCAAAGGCTTATCCCAAATTGGTGAGTAGATGAAAGCTGAAGCCACCTTCTGTATTTTGTATATGGTTACTTTTTGTGTTTTGTTTTTACAAGTTGCCATTGGATTTGTTCAAACAGGTCAGAAAGGAGACACTGTTGGAACCGTCAGACCTTAGGTTCTTTAAAAACCACTCATCCCAAATGGCAGCACTGGATTTATCTTGTCTCATTGGAGAGCGATATTTTTGTTCCCACATATGACGGAAACATGGCTAAAGTGGTTGAAGGCTATCGCAGGTAGTTTCTGCTGCTGACAGTAATTCTCTTTTGTTTATATCAAAACTTTATGGTAATTTTGTAATGCACCTAGTGGTTTTGCTTGGCTTCAAACGATTGGTTTTGGAAGTCAAACCCCAGCCAGTCATTTGGCATCCCAAATCTTGTTTCTTTGAGGAGACGATGATTTTTGTACGCTGCTTTGTACCAGTCCGACATTTTTTACCATGAAAGTGTTGCCAGTTTTGGAGCTTTAGTTTATCACAGGTTCATTTGTTCGTAATCCTTGATATTTAGGCAGAGATGTTTTTCAATGAATTGGTATGTCTTTCAATGTTGGACTCTTTAGCCTGCATGATATGATTGCTGCATCACTTGCCAATTTGTAGATTCTAATTTAGTGAAAGTTTGTACTTGGACACAGAAAGATGAAGAAGTGGAGTCCTTAAGGAAGAATTTTGCTGGAATTCAAGCTGACAGGAAGGAGAGGGAAGAAGCTGAAGCAGTGAAGGTGGCTGCACAACTCAAGAAAACGGAAGTTTCAGGTTAGAATTTCCTTACGTTGGCTGGTCCACAAGCCAACTCATGTTTGTGGGCACTTACACTTGAAAACAATCCTATATCATTTATTAGTTATTGCTAACATAAATATATATATCTCTTCTATAATCCATTTTTGTAACAGACAACAGTGGAAAGAAAAGCAACTGGCCACAATAAATATATATATATATATATTCTAATAATCCATTAATGGTTTTCACTTTTGCTACAGCCTATCTATTCTCAAGCAGCTTGAGTCCTAAAATTCTTGAAGGCTTGTTGGGAGCAGGTTTGTCAACACACGAGCAGATGGATGAAGTCAGGCATAAGTGAGCAAGTTTTGTGACCATTATGTAGAGTGATGAAGTTATGGAACAAGATAAACACAATTTTTTTGTTGTGAAAATTGTTGTAGCGTACATGCATTGAATTTTAATTGTAAATTGATATTGTGGTATAAATCATTAGTGTGAATTTCCATTAATTTTCATAGTGAATGATTCAGGGTTTAGGGTTTTCCAAACGTCATTATCTATGCTATTTTCAACAGTGGTTTTCGATAACAACCGTTGTGGAAGGTGTTAAACCACAACGGTTTTAAGTAAGAACCGTTGTGGAAGGTGATAAACCACAACGGTTACCATTGATAACCGTTGTTCAAAGTGCCAAATTACAATGGTTTTATAGAATAACTATTGTTGAAAGGGTCATATTACAACGGTTATCATGGAAAACCGTTGTTGAAGGGGTCATATTACAACGGTCACTCTTGTATACCTTTTTTTATATATATGAGAATTGACAACAGTTTTCCTTAAAAATCGTTGCTGAAAGTGACAAATTACAACGGTTCCTGACCGTTGTCATAAATATGTAGAAAAGGCGACACTGCTAACGTCAACGGTTTTACAAGACTTTCTACAATGGCTAAAAACCGTTGTCTATTAACTTTTTTGTAGTAGTGTCTCTCTCCTTACTAAGAGTAGAGATTCTTTGTTTTACATTTATTTGCCTCCATGACTTTATTGAAAATCCTCATAAATACCTTAAGTTATGTCATCTACAACACAACTCTATAATGCCCTCAAAGACTAACAACATAGCCACAAGACATCTATGATGTCTCTGGTCTAAGGATTAGTTTGCACCATTGCAATCTATGAACTCATTCTAGAACTCATGTATTTAATCATGTTCAGTATACTTGTTCTCCTGCAAACACTTAGACACATATCTTGGTGTTGCCACACTTAATAACTTGAGACCTCGTCATTCTCTACATATAGAGAAGAAACTGCATGTACTTATCTTGGTGGAATATCAATGACCAATTGATACTTCTATGACACTTCTATGACCAGGATCATATTTAGGATAGGGATCATGATAAGTCTTGATGTATGCAATCTCATTACATAGTTCTCGTGTCCACTTATATGTTCCTAGGACTATAGTGGGTTTACTGTTATGATAATAGACCAATCATCATGGTTGAAAACAACTGGTCTTGCCCATAAATAATGTAATAAGTTATTACTAAAAAGATGTCCTTAACATTAATTATTGTATAATTAGTTTGCTTTAAGGGCATACCACTAACACATGGGACCCTAACTAAAGTTCCATAACTTTAATTGGATAATTAAATTAATCTAATTAATTCAATTAGTTCAATGACTTAATAAATTAAGTTACTCACTTACTTGTCTAGCAAGTGTTGGTCCAGGTCAACCTTAGTTGACCATGTCAAGTGTCGAGCCAACTGTTTGACCTTTGATTTGACTCTTGACTTTGATCCATGCCTTTTTGGCGTGCTATCTTATAAGTTCTAATTAGCAAGGCTGTGAATAAGAATGATTTCTTCTAAACCAAAAATGAATTGTATCCCTCTATACAATTCTCCCTATTGGTCATGCAATCTTACAATACAATTTGTTCCTTCTCTAACACAATACTTTACATCGTGTTGTTGGGATATGGTTAACTTGTGTCAAATCCCTAACAGGACATCTCTTGGTTATATGATTCACTTGGATGCAATTGCAAACGTTCTTGTTTCAATTCTCATCCTATACTTTGGCCAAAATTTACCGAATCATATCTTTAGAGTATTCTCTCTTCCTACTAAGAGTAGAGATTCCTTGTTGTACATTCACATGCCTCTGTGCATATGCTGAGTATTCTGAGGAACACCTTTAAGTCACATCCTTTTGATACGACTATATGGTATTCTAAAAAACAAACAACTCATACACAAGACAATTGTGATGTGTTAGGTCTGAGGACTAATTTGCATTATCACAACTTAGAATTCTTTGTTTGACATTTGTGAGTAAGACTTCCATACAAGAATTCTTGAGTTGATCACGTTCAGTGAACTCCATCTCTATAGAGTACCTACACTGTCTTAGTGGCTCAACATAAATGACTTGAGACTACTCATCCTCCTAGTTGAGCAGACACAGTGTGTATCAGTCTTTTCGGATCACCATTATCCAATTGGTGATCCTATGACCAGGAACAGTTTAGGATACGATATTCCTATGACGGAAAGGTCTCGTGATTCTAAATTCTTTAGACTGCTTTTTATTTATATCTTTATCCATGGACTTGTTACTTTGTGTACATTATGTATCTTAAAGTAACATTCATGTCCCTTTGATTGTATTAATTATATTATATCCATAGCATTTTTACACTTTTATATTGGCTTCTATGGCATATATCTAACACTCCTTTTGTTATTCACACATATGTTATCTCTAGTAGCACCACATGGTTTTTTTGCGTTTGCTTTTTCTTTTTTATTGTTCTTTATCTTAAAAGGAGTAACACAAATTGTCTAAAAAATTCAATTGCGCACTCAATTGCGTTGAGGAGTATAATTGCCCAATCAAACAACACAATTTATTTGAAGGAAATGCAATTTCTTACTTAGAGGGGAAGGTGGAAAACAAGATAAGTGACTTTGTTTGCCTTCCATGTACATCTGACACGTGGCGCAATGACATGAGGATAGCCGTAAAGCACACTAATTACACCCCTTTTAGCTTCCGCCATGTGTCGCTCCACACCATTTTATATAATCTTTTTGAAACTAGTCCTTCTAACATGAGCAGACGTAGTGTGTACTAGTCATCCACCTAATTGATAATAATGAAGTGAACTTCTAATAAACATGATAATAGTGAAGGGAACTTGGTGATAATGAAGTGAACTTAATCTATAATATGTAACCATTATCAACTTGTAGTAATGAAGTGAACTTGATAATGGATATGTATGTAATTGATAATAATGAAATGAACTTGGTAATAATGAAGTGAACTGCTGTTTGGGCCAAAAATCTGCACACCAGCCCATTTTTGCCGAGAGGCCCATGAACCAAACATTTGGGCTTTCATCTACAGGAATTAGGAAAAAAAAACACCAAGACACTAGAAAAGCCTAGACCCTTTTGAACAAATTACAAATGTAGCCATGATCTGAAAAGAATAAAATACTATTATTTGCAATTAAAGAACTGATACACACAGTTTTGGATAAAAGCCCAGCTTCTGAGAAGATCTCACCACTTGGTCTCTATCCCAAAAAGCAAAAACAGCAGATCTTTTTCTCAAGGAAGCCCCCACGTGAATTCCTAACCTTGAAAAAGTCAAAATTTTCAACCATCACAGAGGAGTTGATAGGGAGTTAATGAAGGCATGTCTTACAGGAGGACTTCTCCAATTTTCGCAACCAAAGGAAGAAGATCAAAAATCCCTTTTTATACATAGAAAAGCTCTATACCAAAGAAGGTTACCTTTTCAAGAGATAAGCAGGCTACATTTTCAAAAGATAAGTAGGGAGAAAGAGAGTTGTTCATTAAAAAAAAGCAAACTGACCATCATGGCAGATTATGTCTTTCCTTCTCTACAAGCAGCAAATAAAGAGCAAAAGGAGTTCATTTTCTTTTTGGCAAAAGCAAGGAAAAGACCACCATGGGAACTAACTGTTGATGGCTCTTCTCTGCCAGAATAGATAACTTTTGAAAAGATTTGCCACACATTATTCAAAGATTAAAAACCTCACTCCAACATTTCCTATAAAATAAGAGAGAGGGTGAACAAATGGAGGACATCCAAAAAATCAATCAAGACAAAAACTCTCAGAGTCACAATTGACAAACTGAAAAAGATCCATTAATCTCAAAAGCCTTCAAACACTGAAGCAACCAAAGCTCATTGAGCCACAAGAAACAAGTCAGCTATAATACAAATCTCTGATTTTAGTTCAGTTCAGAGAAGCAGTTTTACAAAGCGAGATTTCTCTCGTTACAAATTTGGTTCAGCACAAGCCAAGTCAAGCAGAGTCTGGTTTCTCACAATATGAAAACCTCAACAAATTTATGGAAAGCCCTGGTCAAGCAGAACAGGTACTATAGTACGGCTCCAGCTCGGTAATCGTCAATCCAGCCACTTCTGCCCCTTCAGACTGAAGAGGCTCCAATTCTGCCCTTTCAAAAAGACTTCCAGGGCTTGAAATAGATTAAATCTCTACCAAACTCAAATGTTGGTATCGATTTGAAATCCATAAGTTGAAGGTGTTGACGAGCCAATCCAGCACAAATACATCCAGTCCAGTTCGGTTCAGAAGCAACTACTCAGGCAGAAATCAAAGTCCAAAGTTTCAATTGTCTTTTTTGGAGTTGGCATTTCTCTTTTGGGTCTTGTAATACGCAGTTCTGTCTAAACAGTTTTGCTGTCTTTTCATCTATTCTGGCCAGAACTACCAATTTTGTACTGTGAAAAATTGTGAAGTCCTCACCAGTCTGAGGCAAGAAAAGAACTTATTTGGGAGATATTCCTCACCCAAATTCACAATTTCTTGTTTAAAAATCAGTAACTTGGGACGCAAGTTATTTATTTTTTAGAAGTCTGCTAGGGTTTTAAACTGCTAGCAGTGGCACGCTCATACACAAAAGAAAGTTGACTTGTTGGCCACCAATGGTTGTCAAGCTAATGTGGAACTTTACCCTATCATCATAGGATTAAAATCAAAACGGGGTGAACAACTGCCAATAAACTATTGTTAATAATAAAGGGAACTTGGTCGTAATGAAGTGAACTTAGTAATAATGAAATGAAATTTAGTAAGAATTAAGTGAACTTGGTAATAGATATACGTTGTATATCAACTTATCCTATGATAATGTAATCAGTACCAATCGATGTATATCAATCAACTTTTCCAATAAAGTGAAAAATCCATATAATAATTTTTATTACATTACTTAGGATTATTGCATAGTTAAAAAATCTTACTTGTTAATAAAGAAAGTACAGTTGTGTTTTTGTAGATGCCCATTAATAACTCTAATCCTACATGATAATTAATTTCTTTTTGGACTTTGGTTGAATAACAATTGGTTGATTAATTATTTTGCCAATTTTAATTGTAATATGTCCATTGCCCAAAAAAGCACAATTGCTAGAGACAAGACCGAAAGAATTAAATGCAGGCCGAATTGCCAACTGTAAACCCAAACCAAAAGTTGAAATACCTAACCCAAAACAAAAGCCGGACTAATATGATGAAACTTCATCTCATTGCCCGTGATAGGGTCATGACTAATGTTCACCCAAGATTGACACAACGCAATATTTTCATTCGTTGACCACGAGCCTCCGACTTCGACAGAAGATGTCATTCGCTTTTTTATACAAATGGAAAGTAGTAGAAAAATGTGAGTGGAGAGTAAAAAATATTGGAAGGAGAAGAGTTTGTACGGAGAATTGGTGTGGAAGTGAAAAATGTGAGTGGAGATAAAAAAAATATTGGAAGGAGAAAAGTTTGTATGGAGAATTGGTGTGGAAAGTGAATAATGTGAGTGGAGAGTAAAAAATATTGGATGGAGAAGAAATTGTATGAAGATTTAGTGTGGAAAGTAAATAAAATGGTTAGGTATTTATAGAGAAAAAATACAGAATTTTTGGGTATTTTTTAAAAAAAAATTCAGAATTGTTTCGATTTTTTTTGCAATTTTTTTAGCCAAAAAAATGAGGACTGTCGGATTTCTAGAAAAAAACCATCCGAGAGTCCTTGTCGCGCCACGTGGCAAATGCCCGTTGGAGGCTATCAGGTGTGACGTCAGTGCTGGCATCAGCGTGACACCAGCGCTGACGTCACAAGAGTCGGGCTTCAGCCCAGGCAAGACTTGCCCTTGGGCTCTCCCGGGCTGGTGGGACCCACCACGAAACTGGGCTACATTTGCTGTGCTGGAGGTGTCTTGGGCTCGCCAGGGATGCCTTTCCCCCAGTTTGGGTCTGGCGCTGGAGATGCTCTAAAGGGATTTTAATTTGAAAAGCTATGCGTATGTTGTTCTCTAGGAACACGCGGTGGGAGTTCAAAAGCAACCATCCAAATAAATTTTCAATTTCCCTCCATGAACCCTAAAAGCATCCACAAATTAAACCTCTGAAACCTTATTCATCTTCATTTTCGGTAGTTCTTGAAAAGCTGAGAACTTTTTAAAACTATTCGTCCATGAACCCAACAATCCTACAGACCTAGAAGCACCCAAACCTTATACTGCTCCATTTTTGTTAAGAAGGTCAATTATTTCCTAATGTTCACAAGATGGATTAGGAAACAAATATGTAATTATGTGCTGTAAAATATTTCTTTTCCTACTGTAATTTAGATTCCTAGAATAGCTTAGCATAATTATATGAAATCTCTTGTATAAAGTCACATTCTCTGATTCAATGAAAATCATTCAGGCAAATATCTTTCTTCCCTATTTTACATGGTATCAGAGCAGGAAGACATACCCTAGCTCTCTGCTTCTTTTTTGCCGTCTCAATTTTCTTTACTCTGTCGTTACTCATCATCATGGAGCGCGAGCAATCTTCGAAGGAAGGCAAGAACAATGTCGTTGATCCCTTTTTTCTCTACCATTTCGATCATCCAGGATTGGTGCTTGTTTCCAAGCCTCTCAATGGTGACAATTATTCGACCTGGTGCCTAGCCATAACCATCTCTTTAAATGCCAAATCCAAGTTGGGTTTTATAGATGGTACAATAAAAGTACCGTTGCCAAGAGCCATCACCAGATGATCATGCTTCATGGAGAAGACGCAATGATATGATTCTATCATGGATCCTCAATTCAATCACACCTGATCTTGCAGATAGTGTCATATATTCAACTACAGCCCAGGAGGTTTGGGAAGACCTTCGAGATCGTTTTGCTCAGAGCAATGCCCCTCGAATTTTTTAGATTACTAGGGCTTTACTGGTTGACAGGTGGGAAATCAATTGAGTGTCTTACCACATAGTGGTTGCCACCCCACAGATTTGAGTGCATATAGTATGAAATTCACACACTGTGGAGGGGTTTTTATGCAACCACACACTACTACAAAAAGTGAAAAAGACGACGGTAGAAGAAAAAACCGTCGTTGTATTTAAAAAGACGACGGTAACAAAAAACCGTCGTGAATAAGTGACTTAAACAACTAAAAACCGGAGGTACTGTTAAATAATTTTTTTATAACGATGCACACAAATAAAACAACGACAACATGTATGACAAGCGTCGTCTTTTAAAAATCAAGTGTCCTTTTTTTGGTAAAGACATGGTTATTTTGAAAGAACTGTCATCTATTATATGTAAAGAAGACGGTTTTTTTTTTAAAAAGGTCGTCTATTATGAAGTAAATATGACGGTTTTTTTTAAAAAGGGTCGTCTATTATATGTAAAGATGATGGTTTGTTTAAAAAAGGGTCGTCTATTTTATGTAAAGATGATGATTTGTTTAAAAAAGGGTCGTCTATTACGAAGTAAAGATGACGGTTTTTTTTACAAATAGGTCGTCTATTATATGTAAAGATGACGATTTTTATACAAACCGTCGTCTATCATATGTAAAGATAACGCTTTTTATAAAACCGTCGTCTATTATATGTAAAGATGACGCTTTTTTATAAAAACCGTCGTCTATTATATGTAAAGATGACACTTGTATAAAAAACCGTCGTCTATTATGAAGTATAGATGACGAAATTTTTTTAAAATGGTCGTCTATTATATATAAAGATGACGCTTTTTATAAAAAAGGGTCATCTATTATATGTAAAAATGACGTTTTTTATATATAAAAAAAAGGGTAGTCTATTATATGTAAAGATGATGGTTTGTTAAAATAACCGTTAAATCATGATTTTTCATTTATAATTGTCGAAATTTTTTGTCCCGTTACTTGATCTCTGAATATTTATTTTTTCCGATTTTTGGTGTATACGATATCGAAGTATAAACAAACAAGTTTGACGGTTGGATCGTTGAAACTAGTTTCTTAGAATGCATATGCCATCAAAACAATATATTCACTAACAATTAAGAGTTTATTTACTTTCATTAAATATAACATAAGATTTTGTGGTATCCACTAGTGTAAATATTTTAAATTGAAGATCAAATTCAGTCATTGTATTCATATAAGGTCAAGGAGTGTAGCGGTAAAAAATCTTCAAAATCGGAGTTAAAATAACCGTTAAATCATGATTTTTCATTTATAACCGTCAAAATTTTTTGTCCCGTTACTTGATCTTTGAATGTTTATTTTTTCCGATTTTTGGCATATATGATCTCGAAGTATAAACAAACAAGTTTGACGGTTGGATTGTTGAAACTAGTTTCTTAAAATGTGTATGCCATCAAAACAATATATTCACTAACAATTAAGAGTTTATTTATACTTTCATTAAATATAACATAAGATTTTGTGGTATCCACTAGTGTTGTCTATTATATGTAAAGATGGTTTGTTTGAAAAAGGGTCGTCTATTATGAAGTAAAGATGACGCTTTTTATAAAAAAAACCGTCGTCTATTATATGTAAAGATGACGCTTTTTATAAAAACCGTCGTCTATTATATGTAAATATGACGATTTTTATACAAACCGTCGTCTATTATATGTAAAGATGACCGTTTTTTATAAAACAACCGTCGTCTATTATATGTAAAGATGACGCTTTTTATAAAATCCGTCGTCTATTATATGTGAAGATGACAATTTTTTTTATTTTTTAAAAAAGCGTCGTCTTTTAAAACACGCTAAAAAATGGCAGCTTAAGTGAATTCGCGCTCGACAAATTTTCAAATTTTCACTGGTCTTTGAAAACCTTATCTCTCATTAACAAGCGTTGTCTTTTAAAACACACTAAAAAAAAGGCTACTCAAGTGAATTCGCGCTCGACAAATTTTCAGATTTTCCCCCGTATCTGAAAACCTTATCTCTCCCTCCTTGAAACCCTCCTGCACTCTCTAAAACACCCTCATGAAACTCTCTACAAAATCATCAAAAAATCGATATCAATGAAGGAGTTGAGAGATTGAGGTCTTCGCAGATCCATAAGATGTAGAGGGATGTTCTGTATTTGAGAATCAAAGCTGGTTGAAAGGTTTAATTTGAAAGTCACTTAATCTCTTAATACCCTTCTATATCTTGCTAATTCTGGATTAGTCTCTTTGCGTTTCTGGTATGTTCTTTGTCTCCCTAATTTCAGATTTTGTCTCTCTTGATTTGTCTGGTTTGTTTACATATTTTTTTATATTTCTGGTTTCTTTTTAGATTTTCTGATTTGGTTATCAGGAGATGAGGAGGAAGCTTGCAGATTTATAACTTTTTCTTTTGCAGGTTTTCTATGTGAGTCATATGTTTTTTTGTTGTTGAAAATTTGCAGGTTCTCGATGGTCTTTTTTATGCTCATTTTACAAGTTTTCTATGGAAATATGGACCAATGGTAAAATTTCTCTTCCACCTAATTTTTTATGTTTATAATCTTTTTTTTTTTTTTTTTTCTCTCTTGTCATTTTGATTTATTTACAGGGATGATGGAGGAGACTTCAGTTGTGCATCATTTGTATGTTTGGATGAGGAATGCTTGGTTTAGGAGTACGTAGGTCTTGTTAGGAATTATGTTTGTTGTAGAATAAAGATTGGTTAACTATGTAATAACTATTGAATCTTCAAGTTTTATGAAAGAAACTATTTTTAGTGTATATATTCATTAATAAAGCATTATGGTTGGTTTTCTAGTTAAAATCGTTGTATAGCATCATAGGAAATCAAAAAGAACTAAAATGTAGCAGTTTGGAAACTTATTAGACGACGGTTTTTATAATAAATCATGGTCTTTACAGATAATTAACGACGATTTTTATAAAAAAAGGGTCGTCTATTATAGGTAAAGATGACGATTTTTATAAAAAAAAGGGTTGTTTATTATATGTAAAGATGACGCTTTTTCTATAAAAAACCGTTGTCTATTATATGTAAAGATGACGCTTTTTATAAATAAACCGTCGTCTATTATATGTAAAGATGACGATTTTTATACAAACCGTCGTCTATTATATGTAAAGATGACACTTTTTATAAAAACCGTTGTCTATTATATGTAAAGATGACGCTTTTTATAAAAACCGTCGTCTATTATGAAGTAAAGATGACGGTTTTTTTTAAAAAAAAGGTCGTCTATTATATGTAAAGATGACGGTTTTTTTTAAAAATGGTCGTCTATTGTTAAGTAAAGTTTAAAAAGGTTGTCTATTGAATGTAAAGATGACGGTTTTTATAAAACAACCGTCGTTTTTATAAACAATCCATGACGGTTTTCATAAAAAATCGTCCTCTTTACATACAATACACAACGGTTTTATTAAAAACAGTTGTCTTTTCTCCTATAATTAATGATCTTTACCTCTAAACAACGATGATTTTCTTTAAAAAACGTCGTCGTTATAGATAAACAACGACGGTGAAAAGCCGTCGTAGTTTGACACCCAAATAGATGTCGGTCGATTTCACGACGGTTTGAAAACCGAATACACGATGGTGAATTCCCGTTGTCTTTTGCCTTTTTTGTAGTAGTGACAACTGAAAAGTGTTCACTTATTTGGCAAGTGGTGTATTATATTTGTAGCATATGGATGTCATGTGAATTGCATTTGATGTGTGCCATTTGTAGTGAGGAACTGTTGCATTATGTATTGGTTCAATGGAAGTTTGTCAATTTTTTTGGTGCAGCGTTTGTCAATTTTTTTGTGTGCAGTGTAATGCTGCCAATGTTTGTGGGACAGGGCACAACACCCTTTGTGCAGACTGGTTTTCAAAGCACCCAGCCGCAGTAGCACACAGGGTTGTAGCTGCGGGCTTTGGTGGATTTATTTCCATTCTCCAACAAGGGCAGCGAGATAGAAAGTTGCTGCATGCGCTGGCAAAACGTTGGTGGGACACAACCCACACGTTTCACTTCAATAACAATTTTAGTGCGATTACAAGACTTCCAGTATATGGTAAGCCGTTATTGTACAACGTTCATGCTTACAAGAATAAGGCCAACCTAAAGCGTTTATATGGGAACTGGATGCTACCGTTACATGGGCATAAAGTCAAGTACACCACCCTCCACAAGAGATATAAGAATTGGGTCCCAAAAGATGCCACCGAAGTTGATCAATTTGCAAGGGTGCTCATTCTTGCTTTGGTTGGCTTAACCCTCTTCATTGACGAGCACTGAAGTGTACTTTTACTACACACCGTCCTTGGAGTGAAAGCCATACAGTGCTCTTTTTAATGAAATGGGGGTCAAGTACCCAGAAGCCCAGACCTGAAATACAATTCTCCCTTTTACTCAACCCTCTTCCTATATTTTTATACCTCTTATATATGGTTTTTATAGGGAAAGTTAATTAAAAAGAGCATTATTAGCTTACTTTCCTTATTTTTAGTTATTCTGCACTCTTTGAAGGATTGCGATTGAAAATTGACTTTTCGAATGAATTTTAGCGCAAGCCAATTGGAGAAGAAATCTAAGACATTGAAGATTATTGTGTCAAAGTTTCATAATTTTCTACCAAGCCAAATGCTCCAGACATGCAAGTCAAGACAACCTAAGTCGAAATCCCTTTAGAACTGCACAGTTGTGGAAGATTGAATATTTGAGGACCTTTCCAATTTTTCCTAGCAGCGTGTGATATATGCTTGGAAAGCTTAGAGATCAAGCTACGTTTCTCATATTTTTCCAGAATTTTCTAGGAAATGAAACGACCCCAAAACATGTGTGCAAGTTGGCTGAAGTGTTTCAAAGTCAAAGAATGATTCTTTCCTAGTTTGTTTCCTTAATTGTTTGTTAGTATGAAATTTGTATTGTCATTTCCTAGACTCTAGCATAGGTTGGGAGTTAGTGTGTGAATATCGTTTACTAGACGTTTTGGCGCAACACATTCAATCCCACGTTTCCAAAGCATGACTTGACCGATATGAGGAATCTGATTTCAGGTAAATCATGACATAATCATGCATTCATTATAGGATTCCTAGTTGGAGTTATTTTCACTCAAGTATTTTTATGTTAATCTTATTTTTAATAAGATTAGATTTTATCTCTTGAGATTACTTTCCTAGTTCAACTCTATTTTAATTGAAGTTAAAATATTATCTTTTCCTATTGTGACTTTGCACGTTGCTTACCTCTTAGTTAATTTGGTTTAAAGAGAGGCGTCATTACTTTAAGTCCAAGGTGAATCAAATCTCTTATTGATGATAGGTTGTGGTGCAATAGGAAGTTTAATATTCGTGGCCTATTGGGTTTCTCTCTCATGAGAGAGAACAAGTCTTGTATAAAAGATCATGTGCCATTCTTTTGTTGATATAGCTTTTGAGATATTTATTTTGAGCATATAGAATTCTAAGAAAAGCTGTTGTGCGTATATTTGAGATAAATCATCAAGTGTTCAATGTTTACTTGGTGATTTATCAAACACTTTAATCATTCATATTGCATTCATATGCATGTCGGTGACTCATACGGTTGAGGGCACCAAGACCGTGGTGGCGGTTTTCCTCCGGTGAGCTTGAAGCAATCGTGGCCAGTATTGCGTTCAACATAAGGAGTGTCGAAGATCATCCCGTGACAGAAGTTGAGTTACGAAGAAGTCGGTAAACATTATCTAGAATGTGTCTAGGATAAGTGTGTGAGTACTTCTTGTAATCATCGTTCTATAGTGGATTTGTGTTGGACTGAGGAGTCCCGTGGATTTTCCCCAGAGGTGGGGTTTTACCACGTAAAATAATTCTCTGCGTGTTCTTTTATTTTATGCCCAGCACGTTACAGGATTGATAAGCCATATCAATCCTGCTACCGAAGTTTATTTTTATTTATTTGATTAGAATCTTAAATTGGCCTATTCACCCTCCTCTAGGCATTTTGAGTCATCCTGCAGGTATTTTCAATTGGCATCAGAGCAGGTTGCTGGACATACTCAGCAAGATCTAACATACCTTAGGATGGATCGTGCCTCGGGCTCAATTGCACATCCACCATATTTCGATGGCAACAACTATGGCGCTTGGAAGGCCAAAATGAAGTCGTTTCTTTGGTCCTTAGATGAACGTGTATGGAGCACAGTGGTTCATGGATTTCCTAAACCCACAAAGACGATTGGAAAAGGAGATGAAGAAACCACAGTCCTCAAAACTAGAGAGGAGTGGACCACTGCAGAAGTCACACACAGCACTAATAATCAAAAGGGGTTAAATGCTTTATTTACTGCTGTCTCTTCCGATCAATTTGAATATATATCTGCTTGTGATACTTCTAAGGAAGCTTGGGATATTTTGCAGGTTACTCATGAAGGAACAGATACTGTCAAGGGAGCCAAGCTTCAAATGCACACTTTACAGTTTGAGACACTTATGATGGATGAGAATGAAACTTTTTCTGAATTTTATGCTAAACTTTGTGTAATTGTGAATGCTTGTTCAGGTTTAGGTGAAAAAATTCCAGAAGATAGAGTTGTGAAAAAGATTTTGAGATCCTTGCCTCAACGGTTTCAACCAAAGATCACGGCTATTGAAGAGATCCGTGACTTGAACACCTTGAAAGTTCAAGAACTCATAGGGTCCATACAAACCTATGAGATGAAACATCTACCTCCTAAAAAAAGCAAAAATGTTGCGTTCAAGGTTGTGAATGAAGAAGATGATGGGCATTCAAATGAAGATTGCAGTGATGAGGAATTAACGATTCTCACAAGACGATTCATGAACTTTCTCAAGAATCAGGATCCAAGGAGTCGAGATTCAAAAGGTATAAATTCTAAAAATAGGTTTGTTAACTATACTGATGGTGGATCTAAATTTCGCAGGTTAAATGAACGCAAGAATCCAAGAGAAAAGGTCAAATGTTTCGAATGTGAAGGCTATGGACACATATCTTCGGAATGTGCCAACACCTTAAGGAAACAAAAGGATGGCAAGAATAAGGCAATGCATACTACTTGGAGTGATAGTGAATCGGAATGCGAGAATGATGAAAAGACGGTTGCACTTATAACCACAGTTAGCTTGGATGAATCACGTGAGGATGATGATTGTAAAGGTATAAATATTGAGTTTATCATGAACAAATATGATGATTTGTTGGCTGCAACTCAGAAGCTCGGTAAACAAAATAGTGAGCTCGTCAAAGAAGTTGCTGTGCTGAAGCTGGAAAATTGCAGGATTGCAAACGAGTTTCAATCCCCTGATGCAGATTCCGAAAAGGTAAGTGCAGGTATGAACGAAAAATTGATGTTTTTGCAGAAAAAATTGACTGATCAGAATAAATTAATTGCTTCTCTAACTTCTGACAACAAAGCCCTTGAACTTGAACTTAAAAATTCAAAAGAAAGGATTGTTTCTTTAACCATTGGTGCAGAAAAAATTGACAAGATGATTAGCATGGGACGAAGAGATGGTGACAAACGAGGCTTGGGATTTGAACCAAGTAATAAGTCTTCCGCTGTGTCTAAAACAAAGTTTGTCAAATCCACTTCACCTATTGAACCTTCTGCCTCTCATGAAGTCAAGAAATTTATTCCAATTTGTCACTTTTGTGGAACTCGTGGGCACATAAGACCGAGATGCAATAAGCTTCGAAACGAATTTGTTCGTTCAAATTCTCATGGCATGGGTGGAAAAGTAAGTATCCAACATAAGATTTCAAATCTTATGAAAGAGGTAAACCGCTTATCCAAACTATCTTCTTTTCATTGTTTGCCGTCAACTAAGACAAAGTTAGTTTGGAGGAAAAAGGAAAATCATAATTGTATGTCTTCCTCCACTAATGTTGTGCATGAACCCGTTGCTTTAGAAAGTTTGGATCTTAAATGTATTGCTGCAAAACCCTTGGATAATCTTCGATTTGACACTCTTAGAAAGTCTTTAGGTATATGTGCTCTAGATTAATTTGGAGTCTATTGCATGCCAAAGCCTCTTTTATGTTTTATGATATTTCAATTAATTTCTTTGTTTATAAATCTGTTCAGCTCGTGCAAGGATTGTTAAGGTGTATCAATCCTGTAACTGTCTGAACGTATTTGTTGATCTTAGATTGGGCTCTGACATTGCACTATATTAAGAACTTACACTCTCAGCTTCACACAAAGGTTTCCATTGTCTTGGTGCATTATAAACTTCATTAAATGATCTATCCATCTTTTTTATTTTATTTTGCACACCACACTCTTTTCCTTGAAGTCCTTTGAATATCTCTTATCATGCACTTGTCTCTCTTTGGATTGCCATAACACTACTGTGCGTAAGTTCTTGATCTGTTTATAAAAAAAAAATAAAAAAAAAAAAAAAAAAGGTGTCAACCACTCATTGCTCAGTAACCGGGCCTCTTGTCTAACCAACGTCGAGGTTCGAGTCAACAGGTTGTGATGGTTTGCTATCCTTGCTTATCTTTGGAGCCTTCATGATTCGGATCAGTATTTCCCCAGGGGTGCTTCATCACCCAGTTGCCTCCAGTCATCTGACGTAAGCACACTGATTGACCATCCGTTACATGGATCATGTCGAAAGCTAGATAAAGTGAGCCACAAAATTCGTATTAAAAAATATATATAAATTGATCTTCTTATACTTACTATGCACTTAGTGTTTGTGCAATCTTTGGTGGGATTCGTCTTGTGTGGACATATTTTTTGTGCTTAATTGAAAAAGAGTTCATTTAACACTTTTGCTCCTTGATGGTAGACTCATTTGATGCCTTTTTATCTTTCACCATGACTGTGGTATGCCTCTACTGTTCTCTGTGAGTTTGTGAGTCTCGTGTGCTGTCGTGTGTTTGTCCCTAACATGCTTTGCTTCACATGCTTTCAAGACAGCAAAGGGTTTGTTGCTTCTTTCATTCTTTACTCACAAACTTGGCATGTTTATGAATGGAAAATAATTATATTTTCAAGACAACTTTGGGTCTGCATCTACAGTATGTTTTATGTCTTGATTGTTTTGAGCTTTCTGTCTTGAGTGTATTGCTTTTGTTTTTGTATGTTTTGGTTCTTAACAACTTCTCATTATTCTTTTTAGTTCTCTATTTTCCTGTCTCTTATCCCAAAAAAAAAAAAAACAAAAAAAAGAATTTTCTGTTTGTTTTCAAGATAAAGCCTCTTACATGCTTTATTGGTTATTCTCTATGTCTTTATATGTTGGGAATGCAATCTGATTTTTTTATTTTTTATTTTTCTTTCCCTC